TTCTTGAAACGTAAGATGACGAAGAAGAAGAAGAAAAATCAGAATCACTCACTGATTGTTGTTAAACGTTAACAACAAAATGAGCCAGTTCAGGTACCCGAACAATTTAGAAGCGGCAGCAGCAGCAGTCGCAGTAGTAATTGTTGTTGTTTTTGGTATTTATGAAAATTTGCCAATTTTGATTTAAGCCGTAACGAACAAGCGAAGTCATACTTCGTCGTCTATTGCACGGTGCAGAGTATTGATGGCAATAATCCATAAAAATCATAACACTGGCTATTTAGTTTTTTTTTTTTACTTTTTTTGCTTCGAATGGTTTTTTATGGTCAAAACATTTGTTGCCATAACCAATGCTGAACATCTTGACAGGCTACATGTAAAAGGCGGCTCTTAAACATTAAAACGACCTCAAATGTTTTGATGTTGTTGTTGTTGCAGACATGTTGCAGTTGCTGTGGTTAGAGTATGGCTGATGATGATGATGTTGGCGATTATCGATGAATGTTGGTTATTGCTAACCATTTGTTTGATCATTTTAACCGGAGCATTATTGTTACTGTTATTATTTTTTGTATTTTGTTGTTTTTGTAGTTGAGTGCCATTAGTTATAGGTGGATTTTGTTGGGGTTGAATAATGAGGCAAGGTGGACATTGGAAGGAAATTTGTTATAGGTTAGCAGGTGAAAAAATGCACAAAATGTGAAACGTATGATCTTTGAAAAACGAAGTTAAAAAAAAATCAAACTTAATTCGGAAAAAGTCGATGACACTAGTTCTATAGGGATCCAATAATCCGTCCAAATGTTGTACGCATTGAAAATTCACGATTCACGATTTGAATCAAGCTCATCAATAGATGGCGCTGACGACGGGTTAAAAAAATACACATATCAGCTAAATATTGACCAATCTTTATCAAAACAGGCTAAAGAATAAGCATTCTTTAGCTCGATCCCGTTCTCCATGTAAAATTTCACGATGTTCGAGCCATAATTGCGGCCTATGGAGCGACCAGAAAAATGGACAAAAATGAAGTATTTGGTCCATTTCATCCCCTAAATATTAACCTAACTTTACCAAAAACAATAAAGGTCTATGTTGTCACGGTATTATAACTTTGTGCAGCCAATAAGTTTGTAACGCCGCGAAATATTGGTCCTAGACCCACCTAGAAGTATACCGATCGTTATATCTCGACTACCTGAGTCGATCTAGACATGTGTCCGTCCGTCTGTCCATTATAGTTTGTAAACACGATACAGGCCACAGTTATGGACCAATCTTCACGAAATTTGCATGTAGGACAGGTTCTGGTCAATGAAGACCCCTATTGTTTTTAGTAAAGATCGGTTAGTATTTAGGGGATGAAATGGACGGTTTTTCTGGTCGCTCCAGAGGCCGCAATTATGGCTCAAACATCGCGAATTACATGGAGAAGGGGATCGGGCCAATGTATAAGCATGCCCGTTTTGATAAAGATCGGTCAATATTTAGCCGGTCAAATGGACCCTGACTTTTGTGTGAAAAAATACCAAATTTGTATTCTATAGCGTATAGATTTATCCCCTGAAGGACATAGACCTGAGAAATTGATAGCATATCCAAGAGGAGTGGTTGGCCTTTAAATTGGTACCAATTATATTGTCGTATGTACTCGGATGTGGGAGTTACACGTAAATATTTAAATATTTACAGGTGCTTACGAATTCAGATATTATTTAGTAGTGCGGATATTATTGGAGGCGGAAGTATAGCGCTGATCGCTTTGGAATGTTTCATGAGGTTCCAGTTATGGTCAAGGACAACGCCTTTGGTGATGATCAGATAATAATTTTAAGTTGAAGTAAACCGAAAAATTATTTTTTTTGTGATTTTTTCATGTCGATCTATAGGCCACAATTTAAAGCCGAACATCTCAACACAACCCACGGTGAAGGAATCTGGACAAGTAATTAGAAGGGCTCTATTGAATATTAGTAATATTTTTTGACCTCTAGTCGGTCAAGAGGATGCAAATATCGCGAAATATTGGCCAAGCTCAATACAGAGCAACAGAAAGTTATATTTTCGTGGAAGTTGTGTAGGATATCATATGGTCGGCCCATCTGACTATTTGAAAATTTTTTGAAGTGTGAATTTCCTAAAAGTAATTTTGAGATTTTTTAAGTTTTTTAGAGTATTTAATATTTTCAGACTGTATAAGAAGTGGAGTATTTATATATTCATATTTATATAGCTTTACCCTTATAGGATTTTTAAAGTTCTCCATTTTGTCATTGTCTATTTTATCCAATTTGTTTTTTTCGCCTCTTTTTTGTATTCATACAAATATTTCTTTTTTTTCTTTTTACTGGCTATTTTTATTTCATTTATAGTTATAAAACACACATACACACAAATATACATGAGCAAAAAAATCTAACACATAAGCATACTATTGCCAATAGCCATTGGCCATGTATAGATGCTGTCATTTTCTTTTTTATCCCTCCGTACATAGTAGAAATGTGATTTTCGTATATATTTGTTTCTATGCATGAATCCATTCCTGTGAGCATGCATAAATGTGTAGTGGTGTGTGTATGGGTATGTTTGTGAAAAAATGGCAATTTTTATTTAAATCTATAGTAGTGTTTTTTATTCTGGTCCCAACCATTCTATTTGTATACATGTTGTTGCTTGAATTCCGATATACGTTTTCCGAACGCTTCTAGCTAGAAATATTATTTTTCATTTTCTATGCAAAAAATATCTGGAATTGTGTGTGTGTGTCTACATGTATTTTCAAATGTTCGAATGAAAAACAAACAAATATGGGAATGGTTAAAATACAAGCAGGAATAGTCATTCAAAACACACACCATGATGATGATGGTGTCCTGCCATGTATTCAGCTATTCATTTGGTTGGTGGAAAAAAAACCGAATTCTGTTTTTAGTTTGAGTTAGTCAAGCATAGCTGGCATCTCACATTCATATTCTACATTTGTGTATATTTGTATTCGATGTATGCGATTTTTTCTGCGATACAGTGAACTGGAAATGTTCAAAATGAAGAGTTGTTTGTCTCATTCCAAATTAAAACCAAATTATGTTAGTGTGAGGTCCACGATCTACAATCCGTGTGTCTGTATTTAACGTTTCTTTCTTTTAATTTTTTTCTATTTTTGCAAATTTATTTGTTTTTGTTTTCTGTGTATTCATTCAGGTTGTTGTTTTTATATTTATTTATTTGTTTTTCTTTCTCTCATAAAGTTAATGTCAATGTTGTGGGTGAAAGATTGTTGTTGACTATAAAAACAAAAAAAATATATATTTTTATTTAAACACAAACACATACAGAGTTTTACAGAGGGAAAAATATATTTATTTGTTTTATTTTTTATTTTCATAGCTTCGTCCTTTGATTTGTTAGTCAGAGAGGAACATTTATATATATTCTTTATTAAAAAAATTAAATTCCGAGAAAAACTAAAAAGGGTTTAATTTTTTTTACACATTATATAATTACAAAAACTACAAATAATGCTCGGGCTCTTACGCCTTAGAAAATTTTAAAAAAATAATTTTTAAATCAGTGAGCGGAGCAGTATAGTCGGACGGGGCCGATCAGACGATACCCTACACAACAACCACAGAACTCTAACTTTCTGCGGATGCTTATTCCGAACCTGGGCAATATTTCGTGATATTTGCACCCTCTTGCCTGATTAGAGGTCAACATCGCCTCTTCCTTACACTGACATATTTTCCGAATATTACTAATATTCAGTTCAGCCCTTCTAATTACTTGTCCAGATTCCCTTAATCGCTGGTGGTGTTGTGATGTTCGGTTTATAATTCTGGACTATAGATCGACTCGAAAAAACACAACAAATTCAGTTTTCGGTCCACTTCATCCCGAATTGTTATCTGATCATCATCGAAAATTGTAGGCGTTGTCCTTGACCATAACTGGAACCTCATGGAACATTTCAAAGCGATCAGCGCTATATTTCCGCCCTCCAGTGTGGTAATAGGTTACTAAATAATATATTAATACGTAAGCACCTATAAATATTTACATGTAACTCCCACATCCGAGTACATACGACGATGTAATTGGTATCAATTTTAAGGCCAACCACTCCTCTTGGATATGCTAGCAACTTATCGGCTCTATGTCCTTCAGGAGTAAATATACACGCTATAGAATTCAAATTTTATCTTTTTTCACACAAAAGTCAGGGTCCATTTAACCGCTAAATATAGGCCAAACTTTATCAAAACAGGCATGCTTATTCTTTGGCCGATTTCCATCTCCATGTAAAAATTGGCTATGTTTGGGCCATAACCGAGCGACCAGAAAATCAGACAAAAATAATCTTTTTGGTCCATTTCATCCCCTAAATATTAATCGATATTTACCAAAAACAATAAGGGTCTTCATTGGACCGAACCCATCCTACATGCAAAATTTCGTGAAGATTGGTCCATAACTGTGGCCTGTGTCGTGTTTACAAATTATAATGGACAGACGGACACACATGTCAAGATCGACTCAGCTAGTCGAGACAGGACCAATATTTCGCGGCGTTACAAACTCTTGGGGCTGCACAATGCTATAATACCCTGATAACATAGTGGTGCAGGGTATAAAAACTATAAATAATGTTTGGGCTCTTACGCCTTAGAAAAATTAAAAAAAAAATATTTTTTAAAAAATCTACGCCTTGCAAGTATTGGTTAAAAAAATATATTTTTTAAAAAATCTACGCCTTAGAAATATTTAAAAAATAATTTTTAAAAAATCTACGCCACAGATTTTGTTAATCTATGCCCTAGAAAAACTGGGTAGAAAGTTAAAAGAATGTCCCCATGTCGAAAATTTTTTTAATCTGATTCTTAAAAATGGAAAAAAAATAATTTTTATATTTATTTATATTAGTCCTTAAAAACAATTCAAAAAATGTCTATCCTTCAAGAAATCTTATAATTTCTTATTTTTCCTTCTCTTTGCAGGTGTGGTTTCAAAATAAACGCTCAAAAGAACGCCGGATGAAACAAATCACCAGCATGGGCCGTCCCCCTTTCTTCGGTGGAGCGCGAAAAATGCGAGGCTTTCCTATGAATCTCTCACCCGGCATGGATGATGGTCCCGGTTTCCCCTACTTTGCAGCCGAGGGTAAATTCGAATTCGGCTATGGACCCCATTTCCACCCACACGATGGTCCTTTCTTCCCCGGTCACCCGGGTGGACCAATGCCTTTTAATGCACCCGGTAAGTACATGCTGTTCGACAGCCTATTCCCCCCGAGGCACATATATTAAACCAATTTAATGATAGCTATTGTACCTTTTGTAGGTGGACCAATGGATCATACGGGACCGATACCGATGGTAAATGAATTTGGTTTAACGCCTGAATCCAATTTCCTAAGTCAAGGAGGTGGTGGTGGTGGGCCACCAATGAATATACAATCGGCGGGGGGACCACAACCACCAACGGAACATTTGTTGGCGGCGCAACAGCAGCAGCAACAACAACAGTCACAACAGCAGCAACAACAATCTCAACAAGTTAATGGCCCGCGTTCAACATCACCGGAATTCATGTCGGCGGGGAATTTCAGTGAACCCTCAAATATGCAAAACGAAACGCTTGTTTGGTAATATTCAAAAGAGTTGGCAACGCGTTTGCTATTCTTAAAGACCCTGGCCGAATATCAACATCAGCAGGAAGATTAGGAGGAGCGCAAATCTTCCACGAGATGTATTCACAAGTCCAATTAAAAACACAAGTAACAAAAAAATATTACAAAAACCCCCAACAACAACAATTAATGGCTGCTTAATTTTTGATATTATTGCTGAAGTGCAACTAAAACAACAAAACAAAAAACCCAAGTAAATAAAAACAAAATATTGAAGAAAAAGAAAAGTAAACAAAATTAAAAAATGAGCGATTTAAACAAATTGAAACAATTGTAAATTGAATTTATATAAATTATAAAAATAAAAACAAAAATGAAATATTTATTTATTTTTAACTAACATTTATCCAGCAAAGACATCCCCCATTCTCTCCCCTTTATCCCATGAATGTATCAATGTTTGTGTGTAATGCTAAACAAAAGAAAAAATGGAAATCTGTTGAAGAATATGACCTCAATGTTTTTTTTTTATATATATAAATAGTAAAACAACAAAATGGTAAACAAAATCAAACATGCGTTTTTGGTCCTTCGATTACACAATTTTTAAAATTATTTATTTTCGAATCTGAATAGAAATATATTTCAAAATTTTATCAAACCATATTTTGCTTTAAAACGAGATTTTATACAAATCTGAAAATTTCTTTAATTTAAAAAAGATTATTTTTCAAATTCAATATTTTGTTGAATTTTCAACATTTTCAAAAAAAAATTTTAAAGATATTGAACTCCAATATGTTTCACTTCCAATATTTTGTTGAATTTTCAACATTTTTGACATAGTTGGTCCTTTGAACTTATGTCCCTGTTTTCTTATTTTCGAATGTTTTAAAATATGTTAATAAAACAATATTTGTAGTATATATTTCGTGAAATGTAATATTTTGTTGAATATTCAACATTTTGTCGAATTCAACATTTGTTTCATATTTTCAAAATATTTGATTATTATTTAAATTGCGTAAAATTTGGAATTGTTTAAATACATTATTTACTTAAAAAACGTTATCAAACGTCTGCATCAAAAAAAAAATCAACAAAATTTTTATGAAATTTAACATTTTGTTGAATTTTCAACATTTGGTTGTTCGACCAAAATTGTTAGAAATCGTAAACAATTGCAATGAAATTTCAATATTCATATTTTTTTATTTAATTATTTTTTTTTTAATTTACAAAAATTCGTTTGTTGAATTTTCAACATTTTTTTTTTTTAATTGAGAAAAAAAAACAATTTTGATATTAATCAATAGTATGCAACACAAAGCCCGAATATTGAACCCCAAATATTGTTGAATTTTCAACATTTGAAAATTATTTGGCCCTTTCGAACTCAAGTGAAAATTCATCGATGTTTTATCTAAAGGGTGAATTTACCATTTCACTGAATTTTCATCATTATCATAAGTCAACTAAAATCATTTTTAATTTTTATCAACTAAATGGAATTTTACTTTCTTGTTGAATTTTAAACATTTGGAAATTATTTGGTCTTTCAACTTTTTATAAAAAAATTACAAAAAACAATTTCAATAAGATTTCAATATTTGTTATTTACTTTTTAATTTACAAAAATTGTTTGTTGAATTTTCAACATGTAAAAAAATTTTAGTTTGAAATTTATGAACATTTAAACGATTTTAATATTAATCAAAAATTATTCAATATAAATTCCGTATATTGGCATTTTGCACAACTATATAGTGAAAAAATCAACAATATTTTAGATTTAATATTGTTGAATTTTCAACATTTGAAGTTAATAATTTAACCCTTTCGAACTAGAGTGAAAATTAATCTGTTTTTTATCTAAAGGGTGAAAAAGTCTTTTGTTGAATTTTCAACATTATCATAGGACAACTAACATTTTTAAAAAAAATGGAATTTAAAATTTTTTGAATTTTCAACATTTGAAAATTATTTGGTCCTTCCACTTTCTATAAAAAAATTACAAATATTTAAACAATTTTAATATTGTTTATTTATTTTTTTTATTGAACATTGAGAAAAATGACCACGATTTTAATTTTAATCAATGGTACTTAATGCATAGCCTGAATATTGACATTTTGCCGATTTAAACGCGTTGAGTCCAAAATATTGCTGAAATTTAAACATTTGAAAATTATTTGGCCTAGAATGAAAATTTTGTTGCATTTTCAACATTTGAAAATTAATTCGGCTCTGAAATAAAATTGAAATAAGCGTTGAAATATTAAATTTTAATTTTGAATAAGTTTGCCTTATTTTGCATTTCCTTTTTTAATTATTCATATAAATTCAAATATTAAAATTGTGTTTCATTCAGAAAAATGTTTACAATTTGCTCAACTATGTTTGCTTGTCATAAAAAAAAATTGCTGAAATTAAAATTATTTGGTCCTTCGAGCGTGAATATGCAGATCGCAATTTCTTATATAAAATAAAAACGAATTTAAAACCACATTAAAATTTAATTATATCTATATTTCGATCAACTTAATTTACTTCGAATCTCAGAAAAATTCGAAATTTGTTTTTAATAATTTTCTATTTTAATTTTTAAAACTTTATCATAAAATTATAAAATAAAACATGTGTTGTCAAACAACATAAATATTCTTTTTTCTCTATTTTGGTTAACTAACTTATCAAAATTGTTATTAATTTTTTTGTTACAAAATTATATTTCAAAAATATATACAGTCAAATTTTTTTTGATAGCATAAAAAATTCGAGAGTTAAATTTTACCAGCGGAAAATATTTCGTTATAATCCTATTTGACTGTATCAATTAATTTTTGCATTTTAATCACCTTTCCTTGCCAATATCTCTCTAAATTTTAATTTAAAAAAAAATATTTTAAAAATGCCCCTAGAATAATAAAAAATTGCCACAAAAAACTCCCCTCTGTCCTTTTTATCGCCCCTCTGCAATTGATTGAATGACGATTATAAATAAAGTATGTCTGAAGTTATGAATGAATGCTAAACATAAAACAAACAAAAAAATCTATGTATAACTATTTAAATATAATTATAAAATAAAATAATAATAATAAATTAATTCATATAATAAAAAAACAACAAAAAATATAATAATTATAAAAAGCAAACACATTTCCCCCTTGTATAAAGTATAACCACCTTCACCACAACCACCTATCACCTTAAAAAAATAAAACTAAATATAAATATTAATAATAATAAAAAATGTCCCCCCAAAATTTAGTGTTAGCCTAGTCTGTAAGCGATTATTATAATATAACATATAGATGAAGAAGATGCCGATGAAAGAAGAAGAAAGTTGTCGATAAATGGAAAAAATAAGAAAAACATTTATCATAAACAAAAACAACAACAAATCAATGAAGTGAAGAAAAAAAATTAATAAAGAAAATTGTTATCTAAAAATCAAAAAAAAAAAAAATTAACTCGTTTTCTATTTGGGATAATATGGTGAGTATAGAGATAAAGGGTTATGAATATCAACTAAAAATTCGGTTAGCAGCCATAAAGATTATACCCTCATCTTTATGGCTGCTAACCCCATAGCTGATCAAGAACAGGATACGTCATTCTTCTACGCTATGCTAAATTTCTTGTATATCGAATAAAGAGAGTGTTTACTTTGTAATGCCATTTTTTCTCTTATATAAAATAAGTTTATTTATGTTTTGTCAATATGGAATACAAATTTACATTTCCCTAGAAAAATGTGTGCAAAAATTATGAAAATCGGTTAAGTAGTCGCCGAGTTATTCGCATTTGAAGTCAACGATGTTCCGAAAAACAAGCTACTGTTCGGTGCTGGGCGCCTGTTACCTAAAAATTAAAATCCACACAAAAATTGATTTTAAAAAACGGCAAAGTTTTCTTTCATAATGTGGGTGGGGGCTGCCGCCGCCACAAACAAACAAAGTCTGTATGTATGTATGTCCGATTTTTAAAGTGATAATAGATATGTGAATGTGATTATGCACAAATACAATGTAACACCACTTTACACACATATTACATACATACTTTACATACACACATACATTACATACTTACGTACATTTTTGGAAGAAACCCATTTTTAGAAGATTGATTTTTGTTCTGTTTTTGATTTTCAGGTAACAGGTGCCCAGCACCGAACAGTAGCTATATTTCGGAACATCATTGACTTCAAATGCAAATAACTCGGCGACTACTTAACCGATTTTAATATTTTTTGCACAAATGGTTAGAGGGAAATGTAAATTTGTATTCCATATTGAAAATAAATGTAAAATCGTATGTTATATAAGATAAAATTAGCATTATGTGATAGCTCAAAACTATTCTAAATATCTAGTATTTTTTGTGAAATATAAACAAAGTAGACACTTTCATTGTTCAAACAAGCCTGTACGCTATTGGAAGTTGTGATTTATCGGCGCATTCCTTCTTGTACATCTCCACAAAATGGTCAAAATTGTGGAAAAAATTAATTTTATAATAACATTCCAGAACCTATTATCTTTACCAAACCTAGATCAAGTTTGAAGATGGGACCCATTGGTCCACTTCTGCTGGTACCTCAACCACAAAATGGTCGAAATTGTGCTAAAAATTAATTGTTTTATAACATGCAATCGAACTATCCGATTTGAACCAAATCTTTACCAAGCCTAGATCAAGTAGGAAGTTGGGACCCATTGGTCCACTGCTACTGGTACCTGCCCCACAAATGGTCAATATTAGTAAATCCAATATCAGCGAATAGAAGGTCCGATGTGAACCAAACTTTGCACAACACATTATCCTTATGAAGTCTAGATTAAGTCCGAAGATCGGACCCATTGGTCCACTCCTTCTGGTATCTGCCCCACAAATGGTCAAAGTTTTCAATATTTGTAAATCCAATATCAGGCGAATGGAATGTCCGATATGAACCAAACTTTGAACAACCCATTATCTTTACTAAGTCTAGGTTAAGTCCAAAGATGGGACCCAGTAGTCCACTTCATCCGGCACCGGCACGGCAATGGTCAATATTTTATAAATTTTATCAACAT